CTCTCTCTCTCTCTCTCTTTCTTCCCTCTCATGACGAGCGCCGTGCAGAGCGGACGGCTTAAAACGCCGCCTGCTGCCCTGCCGCTAACAACGTGCGCAGTTGATGTTTAAGCGCGGAGTTAAACCGGGGTTTTTCCCGTAAAAGAATACAAAACGCCATGATAGGATCCTCCGTAGGGGGCCCCGCGCTTGAGAAGCCATTTTTGATGGGGCTGGCCTGGCAGTGCCCTTTGAGTCCCTTATAAATCGCCTGCAGGGCGGCATCGGAGAGCGCAGTGGCGTCCTCGCCGAAGGGCTCGGCGCAGAGCGCCTTGAGGAACTGCCCGACCTCGCCGATCAGGATGAAGTTCTTCGCATCGCCGAGGTTGAAGCCCGGGCGGAGAACCGCCTGCAGGGTGGCGGGCAGGACGCGCTCGAGCAAACACGCCCGAAAGTACCGCCGGTTCGCCGCAAACGTCGCGGCGGCGTCGGGGTCGAGCGAAAGCCCCTCCACGCCCGGGCCCGCGAGGAGCTCCTGGCTTAGCCGGGCGAGCGCCTGCAGGGCGAATTTCGGCAGCTCCACCTCGGCCGGGGCCAAAATCGCGCACGACAGCTGGGCGAGCATCGAGTCTAAATAAGGCGGCGGCAGCAACAGCAGCGCCGGCGCGCAGCCCCAGCTGCCGATACTACACAACAAGTGAAAGAAGTGGCGGTAGACCTCGATCGTCTCGCGGGCGCTCTCGCTGACGACCCCCATTTGCACCACCGGCGACCCCGCGCTGAGGGCGCCGGCGGAGAGGATTTTATCCCACACCATCGGCAGCACCCGCGCGCTCGCGGCGACCCCTCGCGCGCCGATTTTGTTCACCAGCTGGTCCAGAAGCCGCACCAACTTCCCCAGCTCCTGCACCGTCTCCATCGCGCGCAAACTGCAGGCGGTGTAGTCCTCGCACAACCCAATCAAGTGCTCCCCGGGCAGGAGGTGGATCATCTGCTGGAGGAACTGCGCGACGGCCTCGCGAACCACCGCCGCGCGGCGCCAGGGCGAGGCCGAGTACAGCCGCTGAACCCGCCCCACCACGGGCGGGAAAAGTCGCGCGAAAAGCCCCGCCATCAGCCGCGCGGCGAGCGACGCCGCGGCGGCCCCGC